AAAAAAGACAAATCAGTAAACTACTTGTTTTTCTTACAAGATAGCCAGCTTCAGATGTAGTGTGTTGTGGAATTTTAATTTAAAATGTAAAATGTTGGAAACAGATTAAATGCTACTGCATATATTTAAAGAGTTGGAGGTCCCTGCTTAACTGCAAGGAACCTATCGTGCTTTATTCAACTAGAAATGCTTTCCAGGTTGCACAAGCAGTTGCAGTTTCCCTATGCTGTGCCTCTCTTTCCTCTCTGGAACATTTAATGATTAATGGGGAAGCCGGGGTAGGCACCCTAAGCACCGGGAAACAAAACCTTTGCATTGTATGTGAAGAAAGGTTACAAATCTTGCTCTCAGCAGCTATAGTGTTGAAAGTATTTTGCCTCTGCATGCCCATGCGTGTGCTTTATCCCCGGCCCATGCTAACTGCGCTAACCTTTGCAAGGTTGTAAGCCATTAGGCACACGGCAGGGTCCCATCTCCAGGGGTGAACACTGAGCATCAGTGAGAAATGAAAACTTCAAGGAAGAGAAGGTGACTAAGTGACCTTAAACAAGTAGTGGTGACACTGCTCAATAGCTAGTTCTGTCTGAGGATGGGACATACCCATAGCATGTTGTGGGACTGCCACTAGATCTGAGACCCAGGTAGAAGAACACTAGCAGAAGATCTGCCTTTCCAAAGAATGGCTCAAACTCAGCTGCCCACACACAACAGCTGTACACCTCTCAGTGAATCATTTCAGGTAAATTCCTTGTGTAAGTTCAGGACAAAGCCATTAGAAATGTGCCATAATCGCATATTTACAGTAGAGTAAGCTTCCCAGTACAGAGGTGTCAACATTGTTCCTACTGTGTGCTCTCTCTCAGCGTACCATTGGACTGCCTTAAATGGGTGTCAAGTATAAGTCATTTTTTCTTGCGATGGCTATCAAAGGTAATTCTTGCTAATTTATTATATACCTTAAAGTTTTATTTGGATAGACTTAGCTATGAAAATTGGGATACAATTTACCTTCATTTAAGACTTTGTGACCTGAGGGGGAAAAACTAGAGTTATCAGGGGGTTTATTACTTTGGGCTTTCTCTGCATTGTATTTTTCTGATTAAATCCATGTGTGGACATACGCATCAGAGACAGTGTGTTAAGCAAAACAAAGGCGGCCCTTGCGCTCTGACATAAGTATCCACACAAAGCATTTATTGCACTGCACATTCCCACTTTCTTGCACCCCACTAATTGAAAATAATCCCTTATTTGTTGTCCTCTAGCCTAGAGAGATAATCAGGGAAAAAAAAACCCATGCCAGAGCTTCACCTATCAGAAAGCCAGGCACTGAGAAACTGAATTAATGACTGTAGTACTCACTAGGGACAGATTATCCAGCCATCTCATCAGCCCTGCTCATTGTTATTAGAATAGCCCATTACCATGTATGCATTTTTGACTGTTTTCCCAGGACTGAAATTAAGTGAGTACACGCAAGTAGTAATGGCCAGATACATTTTATTTTTCCATAAAACAGACTTGATGATTTAGAAAACGTCTAGATAATAGGCCCACAGAAAGGAAAGGGAGTTAATGTTCAAGACCACTTAGAAGCAGTGTGTACAAGTTAAGTGCCGTCTCTCTAGTGTACATTAAATTATCTCTGATACCTATTACAGCGACCATAGGCATATTCAGCTATGGAAATCAGGCTCTTGGACTTAAAAAAGCAATATATTTTTACGGATGAATGCATTGCTATAACCCCTTAATTTAGAAGAAAACTTCAATTTAATAACTCAAAGGGGAGAAATTGTGGTATGTGCTCTCTTCAGGCTGTTCTCATCACTAGCATAGCTCACCCACTACCGCAGAGAACGACCCAGCTGTAGCCTTTATCCACCACGTGTATCGACAGATCATGAACTTTCCAAAAGGATGAAAGATAGATACAGTTGAGAAGATTAGCACTCAGTGAAGGTGGTGGCATGCATTTGTGTGCCTTCCATGTTATGTGAGCTAATGTTATGTATGTTGAAACTACAATCTGATATATATCTTTTATTTATACTCTAAATTATTGTCTTAATTACAAAAGGCTTCCTAGAAATGCTATAAACCTGTACTTCCCACCCCCCCCATCCAATAAAATATTCTTATACATTTGGTATTGCAGGTAATGGTTTGTAGTTCTGCTTTGGCAACACTTTGCTTTTTTCAGTTGTGTATCATGCTGACGTGCTTATTCATTTTAGCATGCTGTAATAGTTAATTCAAGAGCAGACTTACCGTAACGTTATGATTTCTAGCCTTACAAAAAGCCTCACAAGTGAAGGCTAATTGCAGAAGCATAGCAAAATAAAATGAAAGGTGACACATAATGCCATTTTCTTGCAAAAGAATGATAAAGGGCTAAGTGGAGGAAGCAGCCACCATTTAAACACATCTAGCTGTTGCTAGATCCAAACAAATTAAAGCAGAATTGTTTAAAGAAAAAAGCTGGATGAAATCAATTTAATGTGCTGCAGCTGCAGCCATTAGATTTAAAGAAAGTGGCAATTCATTTTTTTTTTTCTGTAGGAACAACTTACTGGGTAATTGCCATCAATCACTCTTGATTGGGGGAAATCCCATAGATAAGACTTCTGAGGGGTAGCTCTAGAAACCTGCAAGTGAGTTTAGTTGGTGATTTGACTAACATGGGCTGCACTATTTTTCTTTGAGATGTTTGTGTGGTTTTTTTCTTGCTCTTATTTTTCCCACGGTAACTTTAGGCAGGGTGTTCAAACTAGATTAGAGGACCAAACAAGACTTTATGGCAACATATAAATCTGGTTCACCTGCCTCCGAAGTACTGTGTAGCATTCTGTCCCCCTCATCTGAAGGATACAACAGCCTTAGAAAAGGCCCCTATACAGGCAAAGCTGATGATCAAAGGTAAGATGAATAAGCTACCGTCTCTCTTCTAGATTTAACGTGTGTATTGAATGCTATAGAGATCTACTGAATTATGAGCTGTGTTGAAAGGCTGGATGGAGCCAGGCTGTTCACTGTCTTGCCTAACGCAAGAACTAGTAGGCATGTGAAGCTGGAAAGAAGCTTAAGAAAAAACAAAAGTGGTGGTTCTTAATTGTGGTAGGGAAAAATCTGTGTAACTCCTCTACTAAAAAATATGGGTGCCATGACACAAGTCATGGTGTTTAACCAAAATACAATCAATCAGTACCATTTTATACCTAACTGATTTCACATTGTAGTTTCTCCTTCAATGCTTAAGAGCCATACTTGGGCACCCAGTTACAGACAGAACGGAAAGCAAACTTGATCAAGTCTTTACTGAATGTTGAGTTTAAGTCAAAAGCCCACAGGTAACTACAACAAATATTATAGCTCAGGTCAAAAGAAAATTTATCAGATCTAACAGGAGTCCAAAGAAAGGCCACTAAGAGACAGATGTATAAGACTAACCCTACAAAAGACAAAGTCATTGCAGAATAAGGAGCCTTTATAAAAAGCCTTTTATTAGATTTTTACAAAATAACTTTAAAAAAAAAAAAAAGAAAATTCACCTCAGGTCAGATATATGCAATATAAAAACTTACACATTCCTACCCACTACCTCACAGGTTCATAGTTAGTCCATTACTTCTTTCAAAAAGAAAGAACGCCTGCATTTCTATGCCCAAAACCAGACGAAGGCTCACCTGTGCTTTTTCTTTCTCTGCTGACTTAAATCCTAAAAAGCAGATGGTGTGACAACAGTAGATTCACAGAGGTTATGGCTTCCTGCTACACTTTCTCTAGCAGCAAAGTCTCTTTATGAAGTCCTGCCCCCCCCACCCCCGGCAAGTTATCCTCGTTTCACTCTTGGGAGGTATTTTGCTTTTCTCTTTGTAAAGCCAAGATGATTTTGTTGTTTCTGTTCGTGAACAGCCCCACTAAATCAGCACAACCAAGGGGCAAATAATCTCCAGCAGAGTAAGGGCTGAGGAACTTCACACCATCTGGAAAGTCACAACTGGGAACTGCATTCTCAGACTTTGTCATCTATTTAAAATATCAACAGTTCTTATTTCATTAGCCCAATGCATTCCACTTAAAGCTAGAATCATGCTGATGCAGTTCAGAGACCATAGAAAGACCTTCACAGAACCAGAACACTTTTATTATAGTGTTTAGACAAGTAATTATCGGGTATCATCCAAAATTGTTCTCAAAACTAAAATTTAGATTTAGCTTATCAATGTGATCAGTTGCATCTTAGTAAACAATACAATTATGCACAGTTATCTTCCATTAAGAAATACTGTAAAATATATACAACTGTTGTTTCAGGCAAACGTCCTTTTTTGCAAGTGCACAAGTTGCATTTCTGAGCAAGTGCATTTCTGAACTTCAGCACTGAGTCCCATCAAGTGTACACAGAGGTCTCACCATAGTGTTTCGTGAAACCATCTTAATTGCAAGTTTACTCACCTTTCAAAGACTCGCTCTGAAAAAAATCACAACGGTACAAGATTTATATACATAAAGGCACAGCAATTCTGTTGAAACCAGCTATGTTACAGTACAATAGAGTTCAATTAGTGCCTTTCATGCAACAAAGTTCACCAACAAATTTAAATCCTCTTCCAGTAAAATCAACTGCACAAGGATTGTATCCTTCCCTTTCTGTAAAAAGAATAACCAGCTATTATTTAAGCAACTCAGTTACTACAGGAACTGGAAAGTACATAAAATGCGGTTTCTTTCTGCCTAAATTTGCTAGACTTTCAAGGCTATTTCTCATCAAAAGAAAATAGTTTCCAACTGAGAGCAAATGTGATGTTTCATTTGTGCTAAAATGACAGACAGATTTTTTTTCTATAGTGATAGTTTTACAAAAATGATATATGTTATATAGGTGCTGTCCTAGGAGGCATCACCACCAGCCCCAGAACAGCCAATTCTAAAGATAGAATAGGAATGGAGATAGAAGAAAACTTTGAATTTGGAGGACAAGTTCAGATCGGGTATAAATAAATTTATTGTTAGAACTACATCCCTGGTTGGTCCAGTGCTCATGCAATGGACACACCAAGTGTACTTCTCCCTCTAAACTGATTCAAAATATTCTCCCCATCTCCTTCCCCCAGTACCAACTTCAAATTGTAATTTCTGAAGCTCCAGTTTTCCTAAACATCAGTTGCATTGAAAGAGTATTTGCACTTTTTACATCTGTCTGTAGCTGAATAATTAGAAGGCAGATTGTGTATTGCCATCAAGCTAATCAACTCCCAAAGCTTTGAGCTGTCGTTCAATCTCTTCATCTGATATGGTAGCAGCTTTTGATGTTGATGCAGATGGCAAGCCTCTGGCAGCTGACGGAGCTTTGGCCATCTAGAAGAAGACAGAAGTTATCTTCAGTCAAAATAATACATGTTATGACAAGTTGACTTCTAGAATAAGACTGTAAAATAAAGGCTGCTAGAATAAACTATTTTAGAAAAGGGAATGATGAGGAAGAAGCACATGAACTGAAATAGCCATAAAATAAAAAATAAATGGTAAAAATAGCCATACCTTTCCAGAGATTTCAATTCCTATCTCATCAAGCACTTGGTTAACAATATCTTGGCTCTCTTCCTCTTCATCAGAAGCATCAAAAATATCATCCAGAGTATCATTAACTTAGAAGAAAGAAAAAAAAAATCCACACAGCATTAAACAAAAAGCTTACTAAAATAAACCTAGTGCCATCTTTCTACCCTCTGTAGCAGTAGTACCACTGTGTAAGATAACAACAGAAAGCACCTGTATATTGTAGAGGCTTTCTTACCTCTGCCTTGCAAAGCCTGTGACCACAACTAGAGCAGCAACAGGGTAAGGCATGACTGCTTTTATAAAAATGTTTAGTTTCACCAAAATAGTTCAGTAGCTTTCAACATCTGATGATTTCAACATTTCTTAAAAACATCTTCTATAGTCCCATAAAAATCCCTTTCTTCCTCCTCCTCCAAGTAAGTTGCACAATTATTGATTACTCGGCTAATTTCTGAATTGCAACAATACAGTTCTGCATGGCTGAGGTGTTCACGTCTTGCTCTGCAATATTGTTTTAAGTCCGTGCTACTTACTAGGGCCAACACAGCAGCAGGGATTAGGATAGGAAGGAGACTGTGCTAGCAACACCAGGAAGTACGGTGTTATTTAGTTAACAGTGGACAGATGCAATTGGGAACAAGAAACTTGCCATGCCCCAAGAAGTTGTTTGTGGCTTAAAATAAAAAAAAAAAAAAAGACACAACCATCCCATTCCACCATGTACCTAAAGCTGAGATTATCAATATCTAAATTAAAAAGCACATGCAGAACTACCAGCTACAGAAAGAGCAATTTTTCAAGTCCCCCTACTAGTTACGCCAATAAGGTTTTGAACTGGTCTCAAACCCTCTTCCTTTCCAGTATGTTCTTTCTAGAAGCGTGATGGGTGTTTTCCATGAAGATGGGAAGGAATGGATTCTAGATTTAGCATCTAGAGCTACTAAAAAGCCTAAGACTCAGCCTCGCTGCTCAGACATGCATTGTTTTGTTTGCTCTTAACTTGTGCTGTCAAGCTGTCAATCTCATTAATTGTAGAAATGCAACTTCGAGCATCAGTATTTCTAGACTGATTCTACCCTTCCAAGAACACTGTGGGCTGCAGCTAGCTGCTCCCTGCAGTGCAGAACTTACTCATTTCTTCAGTCATTTCCATCTTCATGTTTTCCTTCTGGAAATTCTGCATAGTTTGCAGTGTCTTTTGTGGATCCATTTTCTTATTAACTGCTTGCATTGTCTATTAATATTGAAAAAAACCTTAATCATACCATGAAACATTAGTAAATACCAATATATACATTAGGAAGGAGTAAGATTTTTCTAATAAAAGAACCTTTCAGTCCAAATTTAACTTTCTTTGTCTCTTTACATCCCATGAGAACTGGAGATACACAACAGATCAATAGTACAGTCTGCACCTAGTAAGAAATATTGCTATCTACTAGTCTAATAGATATGCTTTTAAATGTATATGTCTTTCTTGCACCACAACATTTCTCCTGGCCTTATATTAGGAAAAATCTGTCTGATCTAAATGAAAAGAATGGGGCAATATTTCCTAACTTGCAGGCTATACACTTTAAAGAGGTAAATGGCTGCAGGTTTTTTATTCAGTAAGGAACATTTACCTGAAAAACCACTAGAGAACAGACATTAAATTGCAATTGTTTCTTTATGTTATAATTTAATCAAAAATTACTTTTCTCTGAAAAGCAAATATCGAAGTGTTCAGGAAGTACATATTAGCTTAGGGTGAAACTTTGTAATGCATAGTGATCTTTCTGTGTCAGTGTAATAAACTTCACCTGTCGTACTACAAGTGCGCAGCGCTGTCTTTGCAGAGACCAGTACTCAATATTTTCTTCTTTCCTAAGAAGCAAGCTACTGTATCTCTCATGGGACGTCAAAACCTAAATATATACACCAGTAATTCAAACGTAAAGTCTAACCATCTTTGAGAAGATAAAAGAGTTCGTTAATTAAAAGGAATGCTATCAAGCTACTACAGCCACTACTGGTTTCATAGAAGCTCTTCTGCCTTTATGTCTGAATTTGTTTAAAGGGATAATGTATTACGCTTCTAATTTTACTTGACTTTCAAAGACTGTGTTCATAGTCACATTATTTGAATTCAAAAAGTTGTTCTGGACTTACAGGGTGTTGGTTCTTTAGAGTTCTTTTACAAGAGTTCTAGATGGACGTCAAAAATATTTGCACTAAACTGATACAGAGTTTATATATCTTCAGAAAATAAAGGCCAGATACATGATTAAAAGAAACAGGTAACTATCAAGTGGACTTTACTATGTCCAAAATTAGTGCCATACATGCTAAAAAGTATATAGGAAATACTTTGAAAGCTTCACGTTCACATATTTGTCTTGCTCGTTGAGGCAACTGATTCCAAATATTTCTCACTGATGGTTGCATGTGATTAAGAATAGTCTATAAGCTTCAAAACAAATGACTGAATACTTTTTTTTTAAGCTTGCCGTGCTGATAAGGCAAAATACTCACTTTAAAAGTGACCAAAAGAATTTAACACCTTCCTCCCCAGTAACATTACACGAACTAGTCCATAGAAGTACCTGCTGCATTTCAAAAAATGCCACTTTTCTGGATGCTGGTTAATTTATTTTTTTACTATTTTGGGTTTTTTTTTCTACTGATTTAACCTTCATAATTAGACTACTGATACTTTGGTTTTCAGAAATTTAATCCGAGACATATTGTGGATAAAACCAAGTCAAGCATGTAATAACTAAAAAGCAAGACCAACTTCTTCGTGTGCAACACTGTTGTAGGAATACGGAGTAAGCTGTTTAACTTGATCAGTTGTAGAGTCAGACAAGCCCCCCCCTTTGTGGGTTAGTCACAGAGGATGGAAAGTTTGCTACAGAGCCACAACTGTATCACTGAACGGCTGATATCTGCCAACATACTACTTCTAAAAGATATCTGAGAGCAAAGCCTTAGCAGTAATTACTTCCCGCACTAAGTTGCGTTGCACTGTTGTGTTTAACTGGCACGTAACTGGATTTAACTTGGACTGTGATAAAAGCCCAACTTGTCTACAATGATGAGCGCTAATTCTGTTTCCTACACCTCAAGTTGAACAATCCTGCTTGCCAAAAGCAAACTTCCCATTTATCAATTCAGGGAAATAAGGGAAAGTTAACAACTAACTCAAGATAACTGAGGTTTTTCAGACTCTCTTATGAGATGAGATTTCTGAGAAAACTTAATGCAATACTGTTTCCTTAGAGCACGGAGAATGAGAATGACAGGGAACTCCAGATTAGATTTCCTTAGGAACTTGAGATCTGAAGCAATAACCCACGTTTTGCACAAGACAAAGCTACTGTGACACACTGCCTTGATTTCTAGACAAAGCATGCCCTACTTTTTCCTAATAAAAACTGCTCATGACAAGATATACTGGCAAGACACTGTAGCAGTATGGTTTGGGTTTTTTTTGATGTACTAAAAGAGTTCTTCTGCTGGCTTTAGAGTTTATTTTCATCACATAAACATTTGACAGATGTCTAGCCCAAGAAAATATGCTTAGTTAGGTGCTAATTGGTTGGGTTAACTAGACAAAAATTTAGTAATGCGCATCAAATTACATTTCCTTACTGTCACCTCAACACCATTTAGAGTATTAAGCAGTAAATTTTACCCCTTCAATTCTCTTATACAAAACAGCACAACTTAACTTCTACAACCATACAGTGCATTTTAATGTAAAAGGATGTCTTATAACGCCTTACTTTTGCTGTAGTTGACATAGCTCCTGCCATCTTCATCTGAGAGTTCATGACCTTTGTTTGAGTCGACATAGAAGTGACTTTAGAGCTAACAGCATATGTTCGATTTTTCTGCTTCCGCAGTTGTACAAGCTGTTTTGCTAGCACTTTACAGGCTTCTTTATTACCAGTCTTAGCCATTTTCTTTATTTCCAGTTCCTATTAAAAAAAGCGTAAGATTAATTCTACAGAATTTTCATTCAAACAAAGACTATAATTAAGCCTTAACACTAATAATTAAATTCCAAAAGTTAACTCTCCTCTTTATTTTTTTAAGACATTTAAAGTTATATAAATAGTCTTCCTTGCTTTCCTACCAAGGCTCTTTAGCAGAATAAATGCAATGCTGTTATGATTTGACCAGAAGAAAACAAGGTAACAAAGCTGATTTACAGTATGGCAGCACACAGCTCCCCTGAAGACTTCAACTTCTGCGTAATGTCAAATTCGCTTATATGTGCACATTAAATTCCATATCTGGATAGGGAGTTACACTTCAAACAAACAAAAAAAAACAACCCAAAAAAGTGAAGAAATTATTATGGCCAGCCAACTATTAGTGCTGTGACTCTAATCATGTTTGATTTCTTGCATTCATGGGTAATCAAGCCAAGCCAGATCGCCCATGGAAAAAATGGGGAGTTCACAAACTTTTTAACACTTTCTCATCCTCGAGAGAATCTCATAACCTTTTTGAGGAAGAAGTAGATAAAGTTAGATGAGCAATAATTATAGGCTGTTTGCCCACGTAATTTAGGTGGACTTAACTTAGCACATAATAGAAGTGGTATAATTTGTCTACAACAACATGTGCTTAAATCTTAAGAATGACACTTCTGGCTTACAAAAAAGCCCTAAACTCAAATCAATCAATTCAAGGAGAAATAGCAAGCTATTTACCCAGAGGTACCAGGAAAAAGTTTGGGACGAATAATCGTGTCAGATGGGATTTTTCAAAGTATGCCTTCTGATTTGTGACTTGATAATGTAAACTTTTCAAATAATTTTTCCTTTTCAGCCTTTTTAAGGAGGGCTTGACATAGTATCTCAGTTCTTTGTATATGTCCAAATGTACCTTTTGATTTTTACCATTAAGTAAAAGCAGCCTTCAAAGACCAGCGTTCTCCTGTGATTCTTCAGGAGAATATACCTGGTACAGGAATACAGTTGTTTCACCTTACGCGCACTGGTAGTCCAGAAAACTGCACTTACAAGAAGATATGTTGCTCTGGAAAGGTAAATACTGGTCACCAGGATATGCAAAACGGTCATGTTTAAAGGCAAGGGTAAACTGGCCCACTGCATTAGCTTTACTACTAGGAATGATCATGGTTAAGTTTACTATAGAGATGGCACTGGCACAAGATCTTCTCTGTAAATCCATAATTTCTGAAAAGCTGTGTCATACATGTTATTTTTAATCCAAGAAGGTACAGACTGGCAAATAAGGAGCATGAGACTGTTCAAACATTAGAGGCCTAAAATATACGTATTGCAGTCTCTGCAGCTCACAGAGACCACAAAACCAAATTTCTATTAGCATGCCCAGAATATTATCTCCTTTTTTTCATCTCCTAAAGTATTGTGAAGGATAGGAGGTATTAGTTTGTGCACTAGCAAACAGTAGTTTGCACCCTAGTTTTAACAGCAAATATTTGAAAATATGGATTTTCACACTGAGATGAAATACCTAAGTAGCATTTCTAACCTGATTTTTGAAGCAAAATACAAACCTACATCAACCATTGCTAAATCACTGCACATAATCCAACTGCAGAAATCAAACCCTATATATAGATAATTTTATTCTTAACTAAAGAATTTGGGTAAAGAGCTGAAGTACACTATTTGCTTTTGAGAGGTTTGGGGCAAGTTTATTAAAGTCAGTTATGTTCCTCTGAAAAAAAAATATCAAAATTCATATAGTCATATGAGGTTACTGAACTGAAACAGAACTGTCTGCATACTTCAAGGTATTTTTATGCACAGAATTAATATAACTAGGTTTTCTCAGAGCGGTATCTCATAGTCAAGGGAAAAAAGTCTTTCTGAAGAAAGTACATGACAAAATGTTCCGAGATTGACTGTCAAGCCTTTGGTTCTTTTTCACCTGATCTGACTCTGAAAATCAGTACTTATTGTCCACTGATTCTTTCATCCTAACAGCAATTTTAACTTTTTCAAAGACATATTTCACTTTTTTTCTTCTTCTCCTCAGAAATCCAACATTTCTGAAACAATTTATTGTAGTCAGTAGTCAAAACTTCAACCTGCGTATTCATTAAAATTAAGGTTATTTCCAGAGTCAGAATATTTCATACTGAAAAATGCCTTATCTATGAGTAACCTATAAGATCTTACACGTTCAAGGCTTCCAGAAACAATTTCTCTGACCTCTTTTAGTTTTATTCCCAGCTCTCGGTATTCATGCGACCTGCTGCCATGAAACACCACCTCAATAGCTACTGGAACAGTGGCTGGATTTGCATAGCTTTTCCCACAGTCTGAGCATGTCTTCATGCATCAAACTCCACCATCTGTCACATCCATTTATCCAATTATACTGCCACACAGGTGCAGCATCCATTCACTGATTATTTGACAGCTCACACACACTAAGTTTTAAATAGATCTTAATTTAGGCAGATAGCCTTACTATTATTAGCTAGTTTTAGGGAAGTTCTATGTGAATGAAAATAACAACCCTATGGGGTATTGATGATATCCTATGTTTTTTCACGTACTCTCTCCCACAGTCATAGTAACGTATGATAGCACTGACACACACTTGTTTTAGTTTTTCCACCACAAGACCACTGATTTACAAGGCTGTTAGAAAAAACCTTTTGAAGGATAGAGAATGCTAAGAACAGAAGGGAAAAATGAACATAGTTATTAAATCTAAACACATTCTTTCAGGCTTTTCCTATGATAAACACTGAGAATCACTTTTAGATAGTAAACTTTTTCCGACACAATTTTAATAACTGAAAAGTCAAAAAGGGGAAGACAACTTTTTTAGCATTCAATTATTATACACGGAGTTGTATCTTTTGCACTTTGCAAGTTTTCTGTTATATTGGGGGTGTGTGTTTGTTTTTAAAGAGTAAAATAAAGTTGCCTGAGCAACTTACCAGTTGTTTTTCTTGTTTTTCGAGTGCTGCTCTGTCTCTGGTTATAGCCCTCTGTGTACCTCTTAACTCCCGATTCTGCTCCTTTATTATATCTGGAAAGAAAAGATTTATAGCTGGGAAAAGTTTTCAAGACTACATAAACATCTTATCTGCTAAGCATTCTGCAGACATGCAGTATGCTTGACAGCCTTCCTTTGTTCAGAATGAACTGTCAGCTATCAAAGAACTGTCAGCTTTTCAAATATACGAAACATTAGCAAAATACACTTTCATGTATACAACATGATTATGTTTCAGCAGCATAGGCCATATCCCATAACAAAAAGGCTATTTTACCTGGTATGTTTCTTTGCACCATAACCATGGCAAGAGCCTTAACCACACAGCAAGGGTTAGGTACACACACTTTTCTGGAAGTTCAACCCTAACTCAGCAATAACATATTCACTGTGAGCCCACAGCTTTTCAACCAGTCAGGCCTAACTGCAACAGGTAGATCAGCTGAAGAAACCTTGTATAGGAGATCTCAGAGCAGTTAAGGAGTTCCCAAGACCATTAAAACAGTGAAGATACTCCTAGACACGCATCCTGTATCCCGCTCTTTTCTGTCCTTATTCTGGTTTGACGGATATTAGTCTCTTCTACAAACATACCACATCTGTGCAGCCCAACTTCAAGTCAGACTATAAAAAAAATAGTGTTTGAACTTTTTCAATAAGCAGATGCTTAAGAATAGTAAGATATGAAAGTGGAGGCCTTTATAGCAAATTATAGTTTCCTGACAACTGACGTAGCCAGCAGAAGCTTGAACGTGTCTATCGGGTGAAACATATCATCTTTCATAGGAGTTTTGTCACTGTACTATTTAAAAATTATGTACCGGTAACATCCACTTATTAAAGCAAGTATCATTTACAATATAGGCATCAATCATGCTATCTGCAATTAACTTCTGTTAGAATTTACAGCACAAGCTTAGGTGTGATTCACCTGGGCAAAGGTAGAGAGGTCTGCATCTGACTCAGCATCCTCTGACCTTTACAGAGGAAAGAAGTTAGAACTTAGAGATTCATCTGCTCCTAATGTATGTGTCTGCATGACATTAGATAGAATTTGGGTGAGTTTAAAAGGAGCAGACTGTCGCATAAACTTTGTTTAGAGCTCCCTCTTCTAATCCACAGAAGTAACACCATGGCAGGGCACTGCTATTGTCTTTATAAAGTTTGAAGCATGTGAAAATCAACACAAACAGGTAGAGTTACTAACAGAAATAAAGGCATGAAGGATAAATTCTAGAAACCACAGCCATCCTTTTCATTTTTCAAGGCTTGCGACAATTTTTCTACAAACAGAAAGAAGCATTCACGTTCATCATTCCCTCAATCAGGAATACTGTAAAACATCCATTGCTGAAATTATTTCAGCCTTAATAGGTTTGAATTGGAAAAAAACCCATACCTTCATCAGCATTTTAAAGAGGACATATACACTACCACCATCAATTGTTTTTGGCCAAATAAATACATATTCCAAATAAACCTTGTGAAAAAGACACTTGTTTTTACAGTACTACTACTGCTCTGAGAACTGCAAAAAAATATCTTCAGGAGATGCAGATTTTTCAATGGACAATAATTAAGAGCTGAAAGATGACACTGAATATAACACTGCATGCTTTACACTGACAAAGCAGCAGTGAAAATTATTCTGAAAATAATGCTACAGGCAGGCAATTTTGAAGGTAGACAAAAGTATGTTACTTCCACAGCTGCACTTGCAAAAATTAAAGAAAAAGCTTAACAGCCGCATACAAGACTGTCTTTTCTAACTACCATAACAATTAAAAAAAATTGCTTAGCATAGAAAGCTTGAGAAGTAGGAGCTTCAGGATGGTAAGAAACAAGAACTGTACTTAAGTCAGGAGACAATGAAGGCGAGCACAACGCTTATTTCTGTTGTTTCTGATATTGCACAGTGGCTCAAAGGACAGCAATAAATCCAAAACAACAACTATCTGCAGTTACAGGCCCTTTCATTTATTTTGCAAGCAAGGGCCAAGATAAAAACTTGGTTCTTGTTTCTCTGTGATAAATGACGCAAATTCCAAGCTTTACTTTGGCAGACAGAAGAAGACAGGGTATTCCTGAGACAGCCTTTTGCTGATAGCCCCTCCCGTGTGTCACACCGCCGCCTCGCACACCAGGGTAAGGAGGAAGCACCTCCATTCCTGAAAACAGGTTGGACAGGAGACACCCAGCAGGGCTTGACCTGGCCCCTAAAATCTGCCTTGGTCATGAAGCTTAGTGCCGCCACCTCCTCCTTCCTCCCCTCTCAGGTGCTGCACCAAAAATGGGAAGAGACAAGTGGGAAACATACGTATTCTCCCTCGGTGACGTACAATTGGTTGATGCACAGCGTCATTTTTAGCGAGTCGCTTTCAAACGAGGACCCACCTGGTTTGACACAGGGCCCTCAACGTGCCAGGCAGCCCAGCTCTGGGGGTGCCGCCAGCCCCCGGCCAGCCACTGCCCCACCGCCACCCTTGGGGCACACCGATGCGGAAGGCTGATCATCACCCACAGGCCTGCTGCCAGGTAAGTGGTCTTTTTGGGGCTTTTACTTTGCAGACCGTGATTTCTGCCTAAGTTCGAGGGTTTAAGCGAGGGGCTGGCTGAAAAATAAAAACCATCAAGACCAACTTGGCTTCGTACGCGGGGCTTCAAATCAAGGTGGGCGGGCAAGCGGTGGCGGCTGGGCACCTGCCCC